CTGCCTGCTATTTTGGGTGTCCCTGAGTTGTCTCTCCTTACCTGTAACCCTGGGGCTGACAGATGGCAGATGGATCTTGGCAAAAAGCAGACAAATAGCAGGAGGATGTTTAACTGTGTTTTATTTACTACACAAAGGTATTCAACTGTGTGAATCATACAAATTATGGATAACATTTAGAAGAATGAGAATTTCAGAACATTCAATTGTGCTCATGAAGAACCTGTAGACAGAACAAGAAGCAGTCGTTCAAACAGAACAAGGGAATACTGCATGGTTTAAAACCAGGAAAGGTGTGTGTCATGGTTGTATCCTTTCAGCATATTCATTCAATTGGTATGCTGAGCGATATAATCCAAGAAGCTGTACTGTATGAAGAAGAATGAAGCATTCCGGATTGGAGTAAAATTCATTAAAAACCTGCAATACACAGATGATACAATCTTGCTTGTTCAAAGTGAAGATGACTTAAGTGCTTACTGATGAAGATCAAAGACTACAACTTTCCTTATGGGTAATACCACAACATACAGAAAACAAAAATCCTCACAACCGGCCCAATTTGCAACATCATGACAAATGGGGAAAAGAATGAAACTGTCAAAGATTTCATTTTACTTGCATCCTTAATCAACACCCATGGAAACAGCACTTACTGCTGTATTATACAGCAGCTGTATATACAACATATTGCATTGGGCAAATCTGCTACAAAAGACCTCTGTGAAGTATTAAAGAGCAAAGAGGTCACTCTGAAGATTAAGGTGCATCTGATGCAAGCTATGTTATTTTCAATTGCCTCATATGCATGTGAAAGCTGGACAACACGGAAGATGCAGAAGAACTGCTGCATTTGAATTATGGTGTTGGCAAAGAATAGGGAATATACTATGGACTGCCAAAAGAACAAACAAATCTGTCTTGGAAGAAGTACAGTGAAAATGCTCCTTAGAAGCAAGGATGATAAGACTTCACCTCTCCTGCTTTGGTCATATTATTGGGAAGGTATCATGCTTATAAAATAGAAGGTCAGCAGAACAGAGGAAGACTCTCAATGAGATGGATTGACACAGTGGCTACAACAACGGCCTCAAGGATAGCCATGATTGTGAGGATGGTACAGACCTAGTGGTGTTGGTTGTGGTGTATGCAGGGTTGCCAAGGGTTCAGAACTGACTCAAAGGCACCTAACAGCTACAACACAGGACTGGAAAAGTACAATCGTTAAGTACTCAGCTGCTAACCATAAAGGTTGGCAGTTTGAACCCACCAGCTGCTCCACAAGAGAAAGATGCGACAGCCCACTTCCATAAAGATATACAGTTCTACTCTGTCCTGTAGAGCCGCTATGAGTGGGGACTAACTTGACAGCAATGAGTTTTTCAAGAGGACTAGAGGAGAGGAGTGGTAGCATAAAGGCCTGGTACACAGATGCATTTAAACAATGGTCAGTATCAATACTGAGAAAACACTGATTAACTCACAACAATGAAACATGAACACAAATATTTCTAGAAACTGCAAATGCTTAAATATACAAATTATGACAATGAAATCATTGTAATCGGTATTTCAACAAGAACGTTCCTCAGTGGTTTTAGTATTACACAGACACTTATTTTGTGAAAAACAAGGCTGCAATAACAAAGTTATGACACACATAGCCACAAAAATCACTGAGCTCTATTTTCCAATATGGCGCAGCAAGGAAACAGACATTAGAATCATCTGAATTTTTTTTGATTTTTTAAATACTAGTGCCCAGACCCCATGTCAGATCAATTAAATTAGAAACTTAGCAGCTGGGCACAAGAAGTATAAAAGCTCCCCAGATTATGCTACTGTGCAGCCAGTGATCCTGATGTACCCCAAAGTCTGAGAACCACAGTCTTAGAGGACAGTACCAGGCTAGTATTCTTTTTATTATAAATATATATCTATCAACAATAAATTTAAAAAAAAAAAGTTCCTACAAATGATAGAATTTGATAGGCAATAGCTTAATTTTTATGATGTGCAAAGGCTAATTTTCTCAATAAAGAAAATTCACGTAAATGCATTAAAATTTTAATTACATAAAAATTAAGATACAAACTTGTAAGTATAAAATATGCTTACAACTGAGAGGGAAAATCAGCACATACAGGAAAAAAAGAAAAGGCCGGAACAGCCGCCATGGGAGAAAGCTGCTGAGCAGGGACTGCAGTGGGCTTTTTTTTTAAAAGTAGTAATAATTTATTAACTCATAATTTTGAAAAATGTGTGTTTTCCATACAGTATCTTGATCTCTACCTTATACACAAAAATTAAAAACAAAAGTATTAACATTATTAGGAGGAAATATTTTTTAGCACCTTGTGGTAAAGAAAGTTTTCTCAATGTAAAAACCTTAAAAAAGTGATTGATACATTTGAAAACATCATAATCTCAAACTTTTGCAAACTTAATGAAAATAAACACAAATTATAATGAAAAGAGAAGGACTATAAAAAGATTATTGAATATACACATAGCAGGCAGTAGGTCAGCATTACCAGAATATATGAAGAGGAGCTCTAATGGCATAGTGCCTAAGGCATCTGACTGCCAACAGAAGGCTAGCAGTTCAAACCCAGCAGCCACTCTTCAGAAGGAATATTGGGCAATCTACTTCTGTAGAGATACCACCTCAGAAACCCAACGAGGGGTCACTATGAGTCAGAACCGACTCGACAGCAGTGAGTTTGGGTTTTTTGAGTTTTTTATTAATCAATACAAAAACCTAATTAACGAATAAGGAACTGATAAAATACATAACTGAGCAATTCACAGAGAAGTTTCAAAAACACTCACCATACCAAAAAAACCAAACACACTGCTGTGGAGTTGGAACTCACAGCAACCCCTCCTTGGGTTTCCGAGGCAGTATCACTATGGAAGTAGGTTGCCTAACCTTCCTTCTTAGGAGTGGCTGGTGGGTTTGAACTGCCAGCCTTCTGGTTAGCAGTCAAATGCCTTAGGCACTATGCCACCAGAGCTCCTAAAACACTCACAGACATAAAAAACAGTTACTCAAACTCAGTAATAACAAGGAAAGGGAAAAAACGAGATACTATTTTTTAACCTATCAGCATTAGTAAAAATTTAAAAATCTGTCATTCTCAAGTGTAGTTAACCCTGGAGAAAGTGATACTCTCATGCTTTTCTGTTGGGAACATAAATTGGTAGAGCTGCTTTGGAGAGAATATCAGAGAATCTGGAAAAACTGAGCCTCTGTACTCAGCAATTCCACTTCTACATGGCAATCCTCAGCTACACAGAAGCACAAGGAAATCTGTCCTATGTGGCTCTTACAGCACTACTCAGTGATGGGAACAAAGTACAAACAACCCACATGGCCATGAGTAAGGAAATGGGTCAATGAAATGTGGTACATTTATGCAAAAGTTTACTACACAGCAGTTAAGGAAAATCAATCAGGTCTCTATGTATCAACACAGATGTCACTGTTAGATGCCATGAAGTCCATTTCAACTACAAATCACATGGGACAAAATAGACAGAACTGCCCCATCAGGTTTCTAGGCTGTGGACCCTTACAGCAGTAGATTGTTGGCTCTTTCTCCAGCAGAGCGGCTGCGTAGGCTTGGACTGCCAACCTTTCAGCTAGCAGCCAAGGGTTCAGCCACTGCACCACTGTGACTCAAAAAAAGTTAATAAAAAGAAAGGTATAGGATAAAACATTAATTAGAACTATTTATATAGATTTTTGAAGTTTTCAAAACACTATGTATTTTCTAACATCCACCCATCCATCTGTGCGAGAAAATAATTTTATAATTACCATCAGACCATATGCCAAACTCACAATAGAGTTAACTTCTTGGGAAGGGATGAAGAACTAGCACTGCTGTCAAAAGGTTACTATAGCTTTATCTGTAATGTTCTAATATAGTCAAAAGAAGAAGGACACACTGATTACTCTCCTGAATACTCTCTTAAAGGATAATTTGGAAGTCAAAGCATTAGTTTTTAAATCTGAATGGGAGACACATGGGTATTTGTGATTTTCTCTTTTGTTACTTTCCTTCAGCTTTTCATTCTCTCTCATAAAAAAAAAAAGTGCTTTGCAAAAAAAAAAAAAGATCAAGTAACATGCTACATAATATGAATACTAGCATTCACAGTAATGATATGATCCTGATGTGTTCAAATTATGTGGTTTTTATTGCTATTTCATTATAACACAAGTAAAGTCGAAATCAGATCACACTTACGCATGTAAGGCAGTTTTTCTGGGCAGGGAAGGTATGGTGAATATGTGAAGTTTTCCGGAAGATATGTTGTTGTTTGAACAAGATAATCACTTGAATTATTGCCTTCAGGATAATCTTGGAGAGAGAAAAAAAAATTACTACAAAAACTTGCCATTTGCTTTGTTCCTCGTATGAAATATTTCACTAACATTGTGAAAGGATCTACAATCTGCAATCTACAGAGTTCTTACAAGCAGTTACTTAAAAAGCACTAGGAAGGGCGAAATGCAGCTGCATTAGCTATTCTCTCATTCACTGCTGCCAGCCTGGACCTGCCAGCATGACTTCCCGAGGGAACCGTGGCAACAAGTCCAGAGCGCAGCATGCCCTTAGCATGCATATATACACAGCAGACCCATTTACAACCATATACTCATAAACCAGACCACCTGCTCCCATCCTTCCCCAGCCAAAGCCAGAGCTAAATAAGGTGTGAAAGCACAGCAGCCTGTGTCTGCTATTAAATGGCCAGTGTGTTGCTCCTAGCGTCTACACAGAAGAGTGGTGGGAGTAATGTTTTCTCACCATCTTACACTTTAAAAACTGAGATTTACCCACTCAACTTACTTCTGTGATACAATCCACTGTAAGCCTTCAGTCATTCCCAACCTGTGGGCTGCAGCCCTTGGGGAGCCCTGGAGCTATCACAATATTTGGTCCATTATCTTTAGATTCAGCAAATGATATAGCACTTTGCACGGTGGTTTAGAACACCAAAGTCAAATGCCTGAGTTTAAATCCTTCCTCCAACACCTACCAGTTCTGTGACACAAGGCAAGACACAACTGAAGTTTTTCATTTGTAAAATCCAGGTAATACTAGAGCTTACCTCATATTGTAGTTTTGAGAATTCAGTAAGATTACAAGTATAAGAGCACTTAGGACAATCCCTGGCCCATATAAACAAACAATAAATGTAGCTATGAGTGAGTGGTTTAGAGATGAGCATCCGACCCAACTTCAGACATTCTGGCCTTTCTTAGGACTTTTTAAAATGTTCACTGCAGTGATATATGCATGTATATGTAGTGCCTAAGGCATCTGACTGCTAACCAGAAAACTGGCAGTTCAAACCCACCAGCCACTCCTGGGAATGAAGACTGGGCAATCAACTTCCATAGAGATACTGCCTTGGAAACCCAAGGAGGGGTCGCTGTCAGATCCGACTCAATGGCAGTGAGTATGTGTCTGTGTGTGTTTGTACATATATGTGTATGTATGTATACATATACATACACATACCTATACACACACACATATATATATTTAACAAACATTTGCCACTTCAACCATTTTCACGTGTACAGTGCAGTGACAATGATTACATTCACCATGTTATGCACTCCTCCTTACTATGTGTTTCCCAATTTTTCCATCATGATTAACAGAAACTCACTCCCCTTACACAGCATCTCTCCCTCCTACCCATCTCTGGTAACCATTAATGAATTCTGGTCTCTAAGCATTTGCCTATTCTAGATATTTTATGTAAGTGGGATCACACAGTATTTGTCATTTTGTGTCTGACTAATTTCACTCAGAATGTTTTCTAGGTTCATCCATGTCATAGCATGTATAGGACGTCAACTCTCTTTCATTGTATGTATATACCACATTTTGTTTACCCATTCATTTGCTGATAGATATTTTGGGTTATTTCTACTTTTTGGCTATTGTAATTCATGCTATAATAAACAAGGGTGTCTTGGGACTTTTGGACTTAGCACCAAAGAGACCAAGTCAGTCCCTTTCTGGAGCAAAGTTCTGAGATGCAAACCTGGGAACCCCAACCTGCCAGTTTCCTGCTATGTAAAAGAAGCTGGACAGAAAGGACGAGACTAACATGCAATAAGGAAGAGATGACATATGGAAACAGCTGATTAAACCCCTGTCATGTGGATTACAAACCATGTATTCACAGAAAATGAAGTACTAGCAGACACTCCGAGACATTTCTAGGAAAATGCAAAGATACCGGAATATGTGGCTTCTTCTTTCCATCTTTAGGATTCTGCTACAATGAGAGAGCAGATTCTTAACTGAACTGGCCTATGGGAAAAGAAGTAGAGAACAGTAGAGCAAATATATGACTTTCAAAAGAGAGGCCTCCCTGCCATTGACCAGCAACCAGTGGGCTGAAGGTCAAAGTTAAATATCTTGTTGAACTACAAAAGCTACCCTCTGAGCCATGGAAAAAATGACAGATTCCTGGAAATTTTAGATGAATTATATGAAGATCCAAAGCAAACTAAGCACCTTCCCTTTATACTTTTGCCTAACATAAATATTCATTCCTCACAAAAATAGAGTTGACAAGGATGCAGCCTGGAGCCAGGACAGTACTTCAGAGTGAAAAGACTCACCCTACCCACCTCCAAGCCCATATAAGGCTGGCAGAAAAGGGCCCTGCAAAGGCCACGAAGCAGAGGTTTATGAGGATGGGCAAAGTCTCCAGGCCTGGGACCAGGCAAGAGAGAAAAGACAGAGGAGAAGGTCCAATTCCAAAGGACTGCTAACCCATACAAATCCTATTTACGAATCTGACAGAGCATCAGTTAAGGGTTTAAGGTAACTGTACGACTAGAAAACCCCAGCATGAAAATACAGACCAGTACCAGGACAACTGCTAAGCCAGACCTCTTCCACCAGCAAGTGGGAGAACCCCAGTGAGAGAATCCTTTTCAATGCCTCTTGCCAGAGGAGCTCTAGAGAGCAAATGACAAGGAAAATCCTCCAACCCAAGAGAGTGGGGGTTCAGAGGACACTAATTATTTTATATACTCAGGGATTAAGACCATAGAAATCCCTCTACTAGCCCACATTCTATATATCCCCCATATGTACCTGAAATAGTTAAAGATGTTGTTGCTGTTGTTGTTGTTGTTATGTGCCATGGAGTCGGACGCAACTCATAGTGACCCCTCCTTGGGTTTCCGAGGCAGTATCACTACGGAAGTAGATTGCCTCATCTTCCCTCTGAGGAGTGGCTGGTGGGTTTGAACTGCCAGCCTTCTGGTTAGCAGTCAAGTGCCTTAGGCACCATGCTACAAGAAATAAGGAACCCTGGTGGTTAACGGTTAAGCTCTTGGCTGCTAATCAAAGGCCGGCAGTTCAAATACACCCAGCGGCATCACAGGAGAAAGCCCTGGTGACCTGCTTCTGGCCAGAGTACCGCCAGGAAAACCCTATGGGGCAGTTCTGCTCCATCACATGGGCTCACTGTGGGCTGGAGGTGACTTGAGAGTACCCCACAACAATAAACATAAAGAAAGCATAAGAAAGTTCCAATAATGTTCCAATTCTTTCCTTAAGATGCTTTTAAATATATACATCCAGAGAGAGATGGGAGCTCTGGTAGCATAGTGCCTAAGGCACTTGACTGCTAACCAGAAGGCTGGTGGTTCAAACCCACCAGCCACTCCTCGG